ATGAAAAATAATAGGCAATGTTCATGTAGCAGGTGGTTGGAAAATTATAAACCCAGTCTCTACAGTCTGTTTCAAAAAGATAAGCAATCAAGTTTGGGTCTTAAAAAGTATGAAGATATGGGAATTCGGACAACAAAGTACATAAAACGGCTTGTTAGGGCACGGCAAATTGTTCTGTGAAGGTTTCAGAACAATTGGACCCACCGTTAAGGAGTTAGTATTTCGGCCAGGTTTCTGGCCTTTTCCCATGGTTTATAATTTGCCCTGGAAGCCAGTATCGATTTGTTATCAAAACCCACGATTTATCCCTTCCTTTTTGGCCTTGTGGTTATGCATGCTGTCTGCTGCCCATGAAGTTGTGAGTTCAAATCCCAACAAATCTTCAAGTGAAATATTTCTTCTTGAATTTTCATTGTTTTGGTGATCACGCTGGTACAAGACAAAGAAGGTGGCTGCGCCAAACGACTTGTTGTTGGAGCTCGCGTTTCCTGCCGAACTGACTGACACTTGACTGGCTCACGCCATTTGAAGTTGTGAACACGGAAGTCATTGCGCTGTAGCTACGTGTTGTTGAATACACCGGCACATCGATCGATCGATTTCTGTTTGAGAATTATTTTAGTAACTGAAGATCGCCAATTTATTTGAATTTAGGAGTCAACACCGTCTTCTATAAGCTTTCACAGGCGTCTGCTTTTGTCACAATGTCGTCGAAGTCACACGGATAGCTCTGCCACTTCAAGGCCTTGGGAATGAGTCTGTGTCAATGCCGTTTTCGTCACATCGTGAGAATAAATTGCATCCGCGGCAGCTCAAAGAATCTATTTGGTCACAAAACGGACGCATCCCGCTCGTCAAAATTTACCACACTTTCGACATGTCCTCTCTGACTCCATATCGATGCGAGGAAGAGCTCGTTTGTTGTAAACCAGACGAACATGTACGACATGGCCAGCAATCGAGGACATCTTGAGAGTTGTAATTTTTGTACTCCTCCGAGGTGTGATTTTTGGCGTGCTGGGCCAAGCACAAGGAAGCCATCTGCAAAAAAACTGCAGAAAATGGTTGTTGTTTGATCCTTTGGCGTAATCTTTGTTTCTAGTCGAAGCTAGTTGCTGTTTGGAGCAGAAACGCTGAAATTGACTATTTTCTGCATGTACTCATACATGTACTCATGTACTCAGGCGTGCAGTCTCACTCGTATTTTAGCTCTTTTTCTGGAATGGATGCTGCTCTGCGCCCCTTGGTGAACCTTTCCTGCGCTCGTGGAGCAGCTGAAAAGGACCACTGGTATGTCTGGTTCCTGGTTTGAAAGTGGAGAGTCGACTTTTGTGCCTTGAAAAAGGAGTAGAGAGCGATAAAGGTACGTCTGTGGCTTATTTTTGAGTGCTCCTCGGACATTTTTGATCGTGATAGAAATTCTCAGACCAAAGTCAGACCAAAGTCAGCGCGATGATGGCTGTACAGTTTTCTTGTGGATTTTTTAGTTGTTTCATCTCGTGTCTATGTCAGTATCGTGATGGTGAAGTGGAGAGGGTGATTTTCTTCCTCTATACTTCGTTCGGCCGACTTTGCTTCGTCCTCGTTGAAAAGTGATCCTGAAAAAAAGGTCGATTCGCAAAATTATGTTGATTTTCAATGTACGTGGTGACATGCGATTGCTGGCTATGAGTACCGACGTCAGTGAGTTGTCATTTTTCATGCTTTCGCGCGGAATATTTCTTCCAGTTGACAGTGAGTTTTTCCAGGCAGCGCTCGAGCGCTCATACGGTAAGACGGCAAACTCCCCGGGCGATCGCCAGGATTGCTAATCTTTTTGAAACTGACTATAGTAGAAGCCCAGTCTCCAATATAAGCCCAGGGTCCGGACTGGTTGAAAAAATGTAATTGCTGGGCTTATAATGGAGATAGTACGGTACTATTGTAAAAAATTTGTAATAGTACATAGTAGGTTCATGTGCCATTTACATTGGACATTTGTCTTCTGTGTAAGGCCATGGTAAAATTTATCTTTGATTGTCAAGTACGCGCGCACCGATTCTTGGCGGCGCACCGACGATTTTTATTTTTAATTTCTATGCATGCATATGCGCGCATTGGCCGGCCAGGCATGCATGATATGTGAAAGTACAGTCCTCGCATGCTGTGTAATACAGTTGTGGCTAGTGAAATCCAACACTTGGCATAAGGGACTGCACCATGCAGTCTGCAGCCCCTGCAGCCCGGCATACGTACAGTACATGTGCTACATACAACTTTATCTGTCTGATGACAAAACTCGTACTCATCACAGTCAAGGTTCAAAAGATGCTGGCAAAAATGAATAGGGATTGGATACCAATACTCCTTATGTGTACCATGTTTGTGAACTGTGTGTATCTACACTGTGACCTTTCGATCCGTTTGGGATGCATACGGCTCTATAGTACAAATTAGGTGCAGTGCATTACATCATTGGTGTCCATTTGTGCATGTGGCGCTGTCCCCTATGACAAGTGTCGGATTTCACTTCCCAAAACTGTAGTACGCACTGCACTGTACAGTTTTGGCATGCTGTGTACTAGTACGCACTGCACTGTACATTTTTTTAATTTTTTTTATATTTCAACAGTTTATTGACATCATACAAATCCGAGAAGAAAGAAAAAGGCGCAACCCTGCCCTGCCAGTTATTTGGACTTACGGGGGTCGCCATGACAAATAATAAAAATAAAAGTATAATAATATGAAATTATGTATACAATAAATGCTCCGGCCTTGGGTTTATGACCAATAAAAACTAACTATAAAAACCTCGGGGGACCTCGGTTTTTATAATTAGTTTTTATTGGTCATAAACCCAAGGCCGGAGCATTTATTGTACTTAGAATCAACCAGTAAAAACTCCTACTCAATCTCCAACAACAAAATTAGCGGACAGCTGTTATTTGTGTTGCTATGACAACCCGTGTGCTGGACGAGTATTTGTTGTCATTGGTTCAATTTCTTTTAGTCTTCATAGGCTATCAGATCATTTTCCTTATTCGGTCTATTTATAACCAGTATCTATAATGAGAGTGTGGTCTGTCTCCATGGTTTCCGGTGTTCATTTCATAACTATAGCCACTGCTCCTTGTTAGACCTTATGTGGAAGGCCCATTCTTGCATATTCCAACAGCAGCCAAGGGAGCTACCTCTCTTGGTTATGCGGACTGGGTCCGATCCTAAAAAGCTGTTTTTATGAACTGTTTTTATTGGATAGGATATGATTATGTTCAATAAGGGCCTGGTCAGACTGCGGCAAAATCGAAATAATCCTAGGATTATAATCCGAATCTCCATAGTAACTTGCCGCCAGAGCGGCAAAAGCGAGAGTTGACGCTCCAAAAAAAAAGCAAGAACGGACCACGCTTTTCCGCTCCAAACAGGATTTGACGCTGATACGCCATTGACGCTGATAATCACTGATTTTTTCATCTCGATATCGAAGAGTTAATTGGCCACGGACAACAACAAAACTCATAAGGATGGTTGCAAGGATTGCACTGAAGGTGTTGGCGATCCCCAAGGTGAAGGAATTTGACGTCGTTCGTGGAGATTACCACTTGACGCTCGAAATGAAGTTTGAATTTTCACTCTCCCCACATGTGTAGTGTGATCGCGATTCAAATTCTGGACGCTGTTCTGTTTTCGTCAGGCAACCAAAATTTGCCGCAGTCTGACCAGGCCCTAAACGAGGTTTGTGTCAATGGGAGATTGACTTGGAGTTTTTACGAGTTGATTCTAAAACACCGTAAAAAAAATTATAATACCGTAAAAAGAAAACTAGAGGGGAACAAAGAAGCAACAATGAGGAATAGGAACTGGTTTAGGAACCACTTGCAGTCAGTTATACAGGGCAGCGGGCCTCAGCATCGGCCAAGGTAGCTGATGCATCCACCATATTGCTGACACGCATGGGGCGTCGTGGAGCACCGCGCAAACAAACCATGCTGGAGCAAACCAGAGCAAAGCCAAGTCGGCAGCGAATCCACGCCATTACTCGGTTGTACGGCTCCTTCGTCTTGTCGGACAGGAGCCCGGCAATCCGCTTATAGCAGGCTGTTGCCGACTTGCCTATGCCGCCTGTTGAGGAGAGAACGAGAGGTGAAAAAGTTGCATGTTCGATCTCTCGAACACGCTCCTCATAGCAGCGGCGTTTCTCCCGTTCGTGGCGCTGGTAGCAGGAGGGTACTGAGGTGGAACGATATGATCATAACGTGAAGCAACTTGGAAGAATGAGTATGAATGCGAAGTGTATGGGGAAATGCATGTAGGGCGAGAGTGCGGGTTTGAATCCCAGGTTATGCCTGAAAAAAAGGCATAACCGGTACGGGACAGATACAGGATAGCGCCAGGCGTGACACAAACACACAAAAACCAAATGGACCCTGGCTAGCGCCAGACGTTACTGAAGTAACGTCTTCTGCATAGCTACGGGAATAACGTACACATTATGAGTTACATGTTCAATGAGATGGCTTATATTTGGAAGTTAAACGTTATTGGTCGCGTCAAAAAGGGGCATGCAAGAGATGAGACGAGCTGTTGTGAGTCTGGTTACACAGGGTCACATACTGGGGACGCTTATTTGAGCACGTGGCGTTTAAACTACGCTGTTTTGGGTGTATTTTTTTTAATCTCTGCATGTGGGTACAACACTGTGTGTGCATGTGTGTTTATGTGTGCATGTGTGTATATGCATATGTGTGTGTGTGTGTGTTTGCGCACGTGCGTGTATGTGTGTGTGTTTGTGTGTATGTGTGTGTATGTGCGTGTGTGTGTGTGCGTGCATGTGTGTGTGTGTGTGTGTGTGTGTGTGTGTGTGTATGTGTGTGTGTATGTATGTGTGTGTGTGTATGTGTGTGTATGTTTGTGTGTGTGTATGTGTGTTTGTGTGTATGTGTGTGTTTGCACATATGGCTGTGGGTATATGTGTTACCGGTTGTACATGCAATTTCTGTTGTCTGGATTGCTTCAAGGTTTCTCCACCATTCTCGTTGCCTCCTCTTTTTCTTCAAATATTCCATCATGGCCGTCTCTGACCATCCTGCAGGTAGGTTCATCTGGGTCCGAGGGTCTATATGAATCTGAAGATCTCTGCAGGTTGTAATTGAATTTATTACCAGCCTCACACAGTGCATAAGGCAGTCCACGAAATCCTCATTTTCAGATCGCAAAACACTGAAATCAGCGAACATGAACTTTACCGTATTTTTCGGAGTATAGTGCGCACTTTAGATGTGCTATTTTAGGCCCTAAATCGCAGGTGCGCACTATGCTCCGAATATGAAATGCATGTACTTCAATGAAGATTGAAGTGCGCACCCCCAATGAAGATTGAGGGTGCGCATTATACAAAGGTGCGCACTATACTCCGAAAAATACGGTAGTTGGGTTGTGCTCACTGTTTTACTGATCCCTTTGAAAACTGTACATTGGTCGAAAATGAAAGAAATTGTCTCTAACACTACTTCATCATCACCATCATCATCATCATCATCATCATCATCATCATCATCATCATGAGAAAAGCCTCTTTTACGGGCAAAGCAAATGTACAGGGACTAATTTAACCGGTATCGCATCGCAGTTTGCGACGCAAAACTCAGTGTCTGCGATTCAAAGTTCGTAGTGAGTCGCGGTAAACTGCGACACATGTACATGTCAGTATGGCCCTGGACATAGACTTGTAGTGCACGCGTAGCGCATTCACATGTGTAGCTTACAGTGTGTGTGGCCGGTTAGGCGGCGTGCACTGGCCACTGTGACTAGATTAGACTTGTGTGTGTGGTTCACTGGTTGTCCAGCCTGCACTGCAGCATGCAGATAGATTCTACACGATACGCACGGGGGACTGCGGGTACATGTACCATAAAATGTCGCACTTTCTCTGCGCGCGCACTGCAGCACGGTCGTGCATGCGCATGCAAGTTGGAAACAACTAAAATAATTACTTGAAGTGCAGCCCAGGAAGCACGAGGCGAGTGTCGACAAGTACTTCACCTGCTTTTGAGATTGAGACCGCGTTCCTTCACTAGCAGTAGGCGTCTCGACCATTCAGGACTTATCTGTGTGCTTGCCTTATCGATGAAGCCTCTTCACTGCCGACATGTCTGTAAAGCAAGGTACTGTGGAGAAGTGGATTGCTGAATTTGATCCCAAAAAAGAATGGATTCGCGCAGAGTCGAGTGGTGGAGCTGTGACCAAGATAATTTGCAAGATGTGCAGGGAGAAGGCGTCCTCGCTTCGTGGTTTAAGGAATTACAGCACGGCGTTCGTTGACGGTATAAGTGGAAGTGCACTGAAGAAGGACAACGTTGCCAAGCACTCTCGCTCAGATATGCATACGAAAGCTGTGAATCTGGGGCGAAATGTTACAATGACACTTCAAGATATTTACAGATCGACGCCGCTTGGAAAGGCGATAGCTGGTGCCAATGCAGAGGACCACACGAGACTGAAGAAGCTGTTCGAAGTTGCCTACTTCGTTGCTGCTGAAGAGTTGCCGTTTGCAAAGTACCCTGGGTTAGTAGATCTAGAGAAGAGACACGGCGTTTCCTTAGGGTCGACGTACTGTACTCCCCACAAGTGTAGTGAATTCGTGGAGATTGTCGGTGAGACGATGAGGGATTCCGTGCTGCAAGAGATGAAGTCGTCCAAGTTCATGACCATCCTTATAGATGGATCTACAGACAGCAGCGTTAAAGAGAAGGAGCTCATGTATGTATCGTATGTGAGTGCTGAACAAGGTTGTGTACAAGCTCACTTTCTTGCACTGAAGGATGTTGCGGACTGCACTGCTACCGGTCTGATTCAGTGCATCGATGAAACCTTTATCTCTCTCGGAGTCAACAACTGGCGCTCAAAACTCGTCTGCATGTGCATGGATGGTGCGGCGGTAAATTTGGGTGTCCGGCGCGGAGTAGCAGCACTCCTCAGAACTGAGTATGACATGCCATGGCTTATTGCTGTCCATTGCTTTAATCATCGCCTGGAGCTGGCAGCGAAGGATGCGTTTAAGAACACCTATCTGGACGAAGTCTCCAACATGCTCATGAATATCTACTACGTGTATCATAAAAGCCCAAAGCGCCTCAGGGATCTTCGTACTGTGGCTGAAGAAATGGATGAGCAAGTGACCAAGCCTGAGAAAGCCCACGGCACCCGATGGCTGCAGCACAAGAAGAGGGCTGTGAAAGTGTTGCTCAACTGCTACCCTGTGCTTGTTGGTCACTTCCAGTCCCTCGCAGAGGCGAATTCAGCTGACGGTGCCAGATTCAGGGGCTATCTACGGCAGCTCACTAGCTTCAAGTTTGTGTCTAACCTGCTTGTTTTCGACGCCATGCTCACTCCTCTGGGTGCTCTTTCGACCAATCTGCAGTGTAGCTCTGTTGATCTGCAGTTTGCGGTCTCCAGTTTATCTGCGTGTCGCACAATGGTTGATCGCATTCGAAATGATGAATGTCCTGACCTGACACCGCTCCATAGTCTTCTTGCAGATGTCGAGGAGTACTTGGACAGCAGCGATGCCAATGAAGGAGTTTTGTTCAAAGGAATAAAACTTAGTGGTGTCACTCGAGGCAGTGTGAACGAGTTAGAGCGCTCCCGCCAGGCATATGCCGGCGCAGTCCAGCAGTGCCTTGACAACAGATTTCGAGATCTGGAGACTCAGGCAGCCTTCAAGGGTGTAGGCATACTCAATACATCAACCTGGCCTGGCGAGGAAGCAGACCTAGACCAGTATGGCGTCGACACCCTCACTGCTGTGTACGATCACTTTGAACAAGTCTTAGACGGCGCTGATAAAGAGAGCCTGGTTTCCGAGTGGGACGCATTCAAGTCCTTCTGGAAGGCAACATGCAGGCAGCTCAGCAGCAGTGATGTCTGGGTGGTCCTCTTCAAGCACCAGGATGTGTATCCCAACCTGTGGCTTCTCGTCCAGATTCTGTTGCTCTTTCCTGTAAGCAATGCAGTCGTAGAGCGTGGCTTCAGCGCAATGCGCAGGATCAAAACCGACTGGCGATGCAACCTGAAGGAGTCAACCCTGGACCACTTGATGCGGATCGCCATTGAAGGTCCCGAACCAAGTCGATATGATGTGTCGAAGGCAGTGGAGCGCTTCTTCAGCACCCCTCGCCGCCCAGATGTGCAGCCCTACAAGAGAAAGCACACAGAGTCTCAGTAACAGTCAGTCATTACAGAATTATCTCAGCGTGGAATTATCTCAGCATGCAGTTTAAGCCTTACCTTCGTTCACTGGACATGGCTAGTTTAGTTCCTCACAGCGTCCACAGTGCATAACTGAGCCTTCACTTCTTCAGAAGTTAGTAACTTCCTTCCCGTCAAAGATCAATCTATTATGCAGCAGCGTTTTCGACTTGTGTTCTATCCATCAATCCGTTGTAAGACCCGCATTTCTCTAGAGTCTAACTCTTCTTCTTCTTCCTTTTCTCCTTCTTTTAACCATGATAATGATGTACTTGTTCGGATTTCAAGTTCCATGTTGATGGCATAGTCGACGGAAAAAAAACTGCTATGCAAAATTGTTGCGTTGCTATGCAAACGTCGGGGTGTGTAGCAATTACTGCTACGCATTTTTTTGGAAGTAAATTAGTCCCTGATGTATATCATTACAATATGTAAAGTGAACAGGGGAAATCAACACAAAACCAACCGGAAAATGATGAAACACAAAAGCAGTCAAGGAAGTAAATCAATACAAAAACAAGCAATGAACACAGAGTAATAAAAGGGGAAAAACCAAATAGCATTATATTAAGTTGAGGCCAAAGGCAGCACCCTACTCCGCCTGGCGGCACTGGGCCAGAAATGAGTTCGGCTGTCGCCTCTTGCCGTACGAACCGCGGCAACCGCGGAAGCAGGTGACTGCCCATCGCAGCATCATCATCATCATCATCATCATCATTCGCCATGCCACTGTCAATTGTATTCTGTTTGCCCGTAAAAAAGGCCATTAATCATCATCATCATTATCATCATCATCATCATCATCATCATCATGTGACCAAGCCGCTTTTACGGGCAACAATATTATGAATATAAAACGCAAGGTATTGTAAGAGCAATTTTCTGAAATTAATGTTAAAACACGAAATATAAAAATGCATTATCACACCGTGGCCACTTTTATGGGCAAATTCCAATACAAGGCAATAAGAAAACGAGGATGAAGTTAACCTTTTAACCCAAAGAAAAGACAAAAGATGTCAACAATAGAACTACAAATAATTATAAAAAACAAACATCAGGTCATAAACATAGCCAGCAATCGCATGTCATCTCGTACATTGAAAATCAACATAATTTTGCGAATCGACCTTTTTTTCAGGATCACTTTTCAACGAGGACGAAGCAAAGTCGGCCGAACGAAGCCTAGAGGAAGAAAATCACCCTCTCCACTTCACCATCACGATACTGACATAGATACGAGATGAAACAACTAAAAAATTCACAAGAAAACTGTACGACCATCATCGCGCTGACTTTGGTCTGACTTTGGTCTGAGAATTTCTATCACGATCAAAAATGTATGAGGAGCACTCAAAAATCAGCCACAGACGTACCTTTATCGCTCTCTACTCCTTTTTCAAGGCACAAAAGTCGACTCTCCACTTTCAAACCAGGAACCAGACATACCAGTGGTCCTTTTCAGCTGCTCCACGAGCGCAGGAAATGTTCACCAAGGGGCGCAGAGCAGCATCCATTCCAGAAAAATAGCTAAAATACGAGTGAGACTGCATGCCTGAGTACATGAGTACATGTATGAGTACATGCAGAAAATAGTAAATTTCAGCGTTTCTGCTCCAAACAGCAACCAGCTTCGACTAGAAACAAAGATTACACCAAAGGATCAAACAACAACGATTTTCTGCAGTTTTTTTGCAGTTGGCTTCCTTGTGCTTGGCCCAGCACGCCAAAAATCACACCTCGGAGGAGTACAAAAATTACAACTCTCAGATGTCCTTGATTGCTGGCCATGAACTACTTTAAAACATAACCAAATGACAGCAAAGCGTGGAGAATGAGATTGAC